GCCTGGGCCTGGGCTGTGCAGTCTTGGGCTGTCAGGCCCGTTCTGGTCCGGGATGGGGGAGTCCTGGGCTCTAAGGGTGGGGACGCCCTGCTGTGACGTGGGGGCCGGCCTGCGTGTGAAAGACAGTGCTGGGCTAGGACGGAGACCACCCGGCCTGGGACCCTTCAGTCCACAGGCCCATGCTCTATCCACTGAGCCAAACTGGTCAGGGCCCTCCCTCATTCCTCAATTCAGTCCCATACATTCACACTTGTTGTCCCAAACGCCCATCTACCACCCGACAGTCTCCTTTAGGCCCAATCCCTATGTCTTGGGGTGTCAGAGGGTGGGGCACCTTCTCTGAGCAGAGGTGCGACCCCTGCCCCGCGAGAATGTCCTGGGAGGGGGAAGGCAGCTTCTCCCAGTGTGGCAGGGCCTCTGGACACTGTGCCCGGCACCTCCCCTGCCCGGTGGGTGTGTCTTTCTGCCCCCGAGGATCGAGGATCGCTCTCTCCTAGGTGGTCTGTCTCTAAGCGTCATGGAGATGGTGTCTCTCCAGGTGGTGGCATCATCCCGTCCCTCTCACGCAGCCCTTCCTCATCTCTAGGGTCTCCCTTTTGCTGTGTGCTTCCGTTGCTGAAGTCTGGGCTTCATGGATTTCCTTTTTCCTTGTTCTCTCTGTCGTGGCCTCTCTGTATTCCACTCAGTATTTTTCCTGATTTCTCAGGCTCTATCCCTGAGTTTCTCTTCCTCTTGTCTCTTGTCTCTCTCTCTCTCTCTCTCTCTCTCCAATCTGTTTTGGCATCTCTTGGTCTTGTTTTCTGGTTGTGTGTTTTCTATTTCTCTGTCTGTTTTTCTCATTCTTGCTCTTCCCTCTCTTTCCTTAATTTTTAAATTATTTTATTATTTTTTATTTCTCCCTCTCTTTGTAAGAAAAATATATTTTTATTATTTCAGAGAGGAAGGGGGAGGGAGATAGAAACATCAGTGAGAACCATTGATCAGCTGCCTCCTGCACACCCCCTACTGGGGATCGGCCCGCAACCCCGGGCATGTGCCCTGAGTGGGAATCGAACCCTGACCTCCTGGTGCATAGGTTGCCGCTTAACCCCCGAGCACTCTTCCTTCTCTTACTCTCTTATTCTTTTTTTCCATTTTGGTTCCCCTCTGTCTCTTTTGCTCCTTTTCTTTCCTTTTTTATTTAAAAAAATATTTTTATTGATTTCAGAGAGGAAGGGAGAGGGAGAGAGAGAGAACAGAAACATCAATGATGAGAGAGAATCCTTGATTGGCTGCCTCCTGCACGCCCCCTACTGAGGATCGCGCCTGCAACTCAGGCATGTGCCCTTGACCGGAATCAAACCTGGGACTTTCAGTCCGCAGGCCGATGCTCTGCCCACTGAGCCAAACCGGGCAGGGCTCTTCTTCTCCTTCTTGAGCTTTCCTCTCTTACTCTCTTTTATTCTTTTTCCGTTTCTGCGCCCTCTGAGGGCTGCCTCTGCCCTGTGTGTTCAGATGGTGCTATGGGTGTCCTGTTCCCTCCTGGACCAAAGCATGGCCACAGGCTTATGCCGGCCACACATCGTCACCTAGCGGCCGTGTGTGGGAGCAACACCCTGAGCCCGCCAGAGCCGGTGCCCCACGCCATCCAGGGCTGCTCCTCAGACCTCATGGCCCAGACTGTCCCTCATGGAAGCCCCGCGGCCCCCTCTGCCCATGACTCACCTGCGAACCAGTCGCGGCTGCCATTCCCATCCATTCTCACTGCTTGGCGTCAGCTCACCCAGCTCACGGGGCGGGGGCAGGCGAGGCTGTGGTCTCCCCGAGCCTCCCGACCCAGCTGCCTTCCCACGGGGCTGGAGAAAGAGGCGCTGTGAGGCCCAAGGACACTGGGCAGAGGCCACCCTGCTGGGCACAGCCACACCTGTGCTCCCTGCTGCCTCGGGCAGGACCACAGGGACGTGTTCATCTGGACAGTGTCCATGGCTGCCTGGGGTGGCCTCCACGTCCGCATGGCTGCCCCTCAGTCCTGGGATCTGAAGGGAACTGGAGTCACTGGTGTCCAAAGCGTGGGGCTGGGGGCCTGGACCCCTGGGTCTGAGGGAGGAGGGGCTGGGGGCCTGGACTCCTGGGTCTGAGGGAGGAGGGGCTGGGGACCTGGACTCCTGGGTCAGAGGGAGGAGGGGCTGGGGGCCTGGACCCCTGGGTCTGAGGGAGGAGGGGCTGGGGGCCTGGACCCCTGGGTCCGAGGGAGGAGGGGCTGTGGGCCTGGACCCCTGGGTCCGAGGGAGGAGGGGCTGGGGGCCTGGACCCCTGGGTCTGAGGGAGGAGGGCCTGGGGGCCTGGACCCCTGGGTCTGAGGGAGGAGGGCCTGGGGGCCTGGACCCCTGGGTGCCAGAGAGGGACAGATGGGACCTCGCCCTCCTCATTCCCTCTAGGTTTTGAGCAAGCAAGTGGCCGAGGACCCACATGTGGGCTCCCGGCAACCCAGCAGCGGCCCGGCTTTCAGGGGCCCCACCGCCCCTGTCTGTTGGCCAGAGCGGGGGGCTGGGGGCCTGGACCCCTGGGTCTGAGGGAGGAGGGGCTGGGGGCCTGGACTCCTGGGTCTGAGGGAGGAGGGGCTGGGGGCCTGGACCCCTGGGTCTGAGGGAGGAGGGAGTCGAGGGCCTGGGGCTGGGGGCCTGGCCCTGGATCTGAAGGAAGAGGGAGCTGGAGGCCTGGACTCCTGGGTCGGAGGGAGGTGGGGGTGTAGATCCTGGGTTCTGGGGGAGCATGACCTTAGGTCCCCGACTCTTATCGGGATTTGGGTCCCCCGGCGAGGCCCTCGCTTACCTGTATACTTTCCCTTGTCGTCTTCTGTCTGAACTGCTCTCGGGGCTGGGGCCAAAGTTCCCTGGGGTGGGAGGTGCCTGCGTTTGACTTTGCCCAGCACGGAGCAGGGAATGGGAGCTGATTCAGCTCTTCCTAGGGGTGGCCCTCCTAGGGCCAGGGAGGGACTTGGCCTCCTGCAGGAGCCCCTCCTGCTACCTGCTGGGCAGGGCCGAGGAAGACTTGGCCAGGCCACACGGCCCGTTAGGGAGCCCCGGGCCTGGAAAGAACCGGTCGGGGGGGCCTCCCAAGCGAAGGAGGCAGCAAAGGGCTGCCCTCCCTCTGTCCTGCCTCACCACCTTCCTTCTGTCCCCACCCCCAGGTTTGGGCCCGAAAACTTCTCACTGCCCCTTGGCTTCTGGGTGGCCCCAGAAGATATGCCTCCTCCAGCTTCAAGGTAAAAGGGAGGATCCCAAGGCAGAGGGCTGGGGCAGGAGGGGGCTGAAGGCGGGATTTGGGAATCTCCGAAAGGTCCAGGGTTCAGAGGTCAAGGTGGGCAGCAATGGGCTAGTAGCCTGATTGCCTGGGACCAGGCTGTGGGAATGAGTTGAAAAACTGCAAGTCCCAGAAGCCTCTGGAGCCACAGGACCCTCTTCTGTCTGGGTCTTAGCCCCAGAGGTTCATGGGAGTTGTAGTTTCCCCCCCCTAGTTTGCAGGTTGTGGCCGATGGCAGGATACCCAGGTCCCCTTTCTTTTCTCAGGCGGCGGACCTGCAGCTGGAAATGACACAGAAGCCTCATAAGAAGCCTGACCCCAGCGAGACCCTGGTGTTCGGGAAGACGTTCACCGACCACATGCTGATGGTGGAGTGGTCCGAGAAGAAGGGCTGGAGCCACCCCAGAATCCAGCCCTTCCACAGCCTCACGCTGCACCCGGCCTGCTCCGCCCTCCACTACTCGCTGCAGGTGGCATGGCCGCCGGCCTTGGTCCCCGTCGCTCTCTCATCTCCTCCCTCCCGCGGTGTCTGTCGCCGGGTCCACCTCCCTGGGCCTGCTTCTTGTCCCCCCTTTCCGCGTCTCCGTCGTCTGCTCTCTGAGGCTCCCCATGTTCCAGGCCCTGTGCTGGCCGATGGCTGAGGTTCCCCAAGATAATCAGATCCAGTTCCTTCCCGTGAAAACCCCACCATTTGCCCCTGGCCAGTTTGGCTCAGTGGATAGAGCATTGGTGGGTTCGATTCCGGTCAAGGGCACGAACCTCGGTTGCAGGTTCGATCCCCGGCCCCAGTCGGGGTGCATGTGAGGGGCAACCCTTCAATGTGTCTCTCTCACATTGACGTTTTTCTCTCTCTGTCTCTCTCCCTCCCTTCCCCTCTTGTTAAAAAAATCACTGGAAAATTATCCTCAAGTGAGAACTAAAAAAAAAAAAAAAGTCCCACGATTTGGTTACAAGCTAGTGCGACCTGAGCCCTTATGGAGGCGGCCAGGGCACTGCGGGAAGCCAGAGGAGGGACCCAGTTCTGCCTCTAACTTGAAAGAAAGTGGGGCAATAGAGGGAGCGAGGACAGCCAGTACAGAGACACGGTGCAAAGAAGAGCCCGGCATCGTTGGGGGAATTGTGGGACGGGAGTGCGGGGCACAGGCCGCAGGGAGGCTGTGTGGCTGGGACTGCGTCGAGGCGCTGGGAGCCATGGGCGCTGAGCGGGCACGGAGCAGGGCCGGCGCTGGGTACCTGGAGGCCCCGCTCAGGACGTGTGGAGGGTGAGGTGGGGCGGGAGGCTGGAGGCCCGGAGGCCAGGCTGGGGCAAAGGGAGAAGGATAGGAAGGGGAGGAGGCCCGCACTGGGGCTGGAGCTGGGCCTGGACAGGAGGGACCTGAGGGGCTGCAGCTGGACGAGGGGACAGGGGAGGGCTGCGGATGGCGCCCAACCTTTGGCTGGGGGACCAGGAGGTCCATGGATGGTGGGCATAGGGGGACTCAGGAGGCGGGTCGGCTCTGCAGGGCCAGTGAGGGCCGGTGAGGAGAGAGCCAGGGCGTTTGGCTTGCGACCTAAAGCTCTGTCTGAGCACACGGCCTTCCTGCGGAGACGTTAGCTGTGAGAGGACTGAATGGACACATTACAGCTCTAGTCGCTGGTCTGTAGTTTGAGTAATTTCTGTTCCTTTGGAGATGGTTCTGTGGCATGAGGTAGGCTTTTAAGAATTTGGAGGGCCGCCCTAGCCGGTTTGGCTCAGTGGATAGAGCGTCGGCCTGCGGACTGAAGGGTCCCAGGTTCGATTCCGGTCAAGGGCATGTACCTTGGTTGCGGGCACATCTCCAGTGGGGGGTGTGCAGGAGGCAGCTGATCGGTGTTTCTCTCTCATCGATGTTTCTGGCTCTCTATCCCTCTCCCTTCCTCTCTGTAAAAAAATCAATAAACTATATTTTAAAAAAAAAAGAATTTTGAGGGCTTCTCCCCCCTCTCCCCTCCCCTCTGGACATTTGACTAGAACCAGCCAACTCTGTGCAGAGGAGGCACGCCGTCGGTGGCCGTTGGGAGCTAAGGCTGGACAGGGGGGATTTTGACCACAGGGAGGTGCTTTCTGGAAACCACCATCTATTTACCCCTCTGTCTGCCGGCCGGCGACCCAGCACTCACTCCGGCAGCTGAGGGAGTGCCGATGAAAGGGTTTGGAGGCCCCGGCACACAAATCATACGCTTTTGTGTTTGTTTGTTTGTTTGTTTTTAAGATTTTTAATTGATTTTTAGAGAGAGAGGAAGGGAGAGGGGAGAGAGAGAGAAACACTGATGTGAGAGTGAAGCATCCATGGGCTGCCTTCTGCACGCCCCCTACCAGGGATCAAGCCAGAAACCTGGGCATGTGCCCTGACGGGGAATAGAACCAGCGACCGACCTTTCATTGCACGATGCCCAACCCACTGAGCCGCACCGGCCAGGACCAAAACATAGGTTTTCTATGATCCCTCTCGTTTAAAGCATGTGAGGAGCCCAGGGCCTGGGAAAACCCCTTTCCTGTGTCGTCTTCACACTGGGCCTGTGTGCAATAACGTATGGACCACCTGTACTGTTGTTTTATTATTATTGTTGTAATAATACACACCCAGAATAATACATATAACATCTGCTTCCTGTCCTTATCCCCGCCCCCTTACTTAAAATTTTTAAATTTTATTTGGAGTGTATTTATGTATTTATTTATATTTATTTTTTTTAATATGTCTTCATTGATTCCAACCCCCCCCAGCGGCCCCCACCCCTCTCCCCAGTCCGCCCCGAGCTCTGCTTTCTGGGTAGCAACACCGATGTGTGTACTTGTTCCCATTCTTTTCACACAAAAGGCAGCCGAAGTCATACTCACTGGGGGGCATCGTGCCTTCTTTAAAGTGTATTTATTGGTGGTAGAGAGAGAGGGAAACATCAATTTGTTGTTCCACTTATTCAGGCATTCATTGGTTGATTCTTTGATTCTGGTCCGTGTCCTGACCGGGGATCGAACACACAATCTTTTGGTTTAAAGGACGATGCTTGAATGAACGGAGCCACCTGGCCAGGCCAACGTGCTTTTTGTTTTGTTTTTTAAATATATTTAAAAAGTATTTCTATTATGGGAAACTTCGAACGTAAAAGTAGAGCCATAGCCGAAACCGGTTTTGCTCAGTGGATAGAACGTCGGCCAGCGGACTGAAAGGTCCACGGTTTGATT